GCGGCTTTTGAGCGGCTACGGCGGAGGGGAGTCCAATGCGCGTCAGAGTTTGGACCAACAGTTTTCTGGGCACTCCCCGAGCCAATCAAGCTGGCGGCAGACTTACGATCGTCTGAAAGGCGACTTAGGGACACTGGTCTGGATGTGCTCTGACGAGATGTCGGTGCCGGTGTGGTCGCCTTTGTCCGCTCTAGGGGATGGTAGATGGCAGCGTTTATCTTTTCTACGATCCACTTGAAGAGCTGGTCATAGATGGTCTTAGCGAAAGCGTCGCGAACTGTATTCGCTGTGGCCGGCAAGATCTGCGCGACGACACATTCTCCGGCCGTGAGAAGACGTTTCGTGGTTAAGGCCCGTTCCAGACAACCAGGGCTCATCTTATAGCGAAAGAAGAACGTTAACATGTAATAAGGTACACTGCACTATGAAATAACTCAAAATGTGCACTTCCAGAGAATGCTTTATCCATAGGTTGACTCCTCTTGACTGAAACCACAGCTGGATTTGGGAATATTTGCGCATAGTCGAGGTTAGCAAATAGTTTTTTTCACGTTGCAGTTGTAGTTAAGCAAGCAGGTTGACTAAAAATTAATATATGAGGAAGTGGAACTGAAAAAGACTAGGGAGAGTGGATTATCCATTTCTGGCTTATTAGCCGTCATCGGCCAGTCATACCCAATCCCAGAGGTGGCGACCCCGAGATTCGAACGCGCGACCTTTGGTCATGGAGGGCAACAGTCTATCATTGCACCACGGGTTCGCTGCTTCTGTTTGTCTTGATCGTGAATATGATGATAGTAGGGAGGTCACCGATCTGGTTACCGAAAATGCTCGTCCCTTGTGCCTTGGAGCTCAATCTAGAACCCTTGCAGGCCATTGCATGGTGACTTGTAATATATGTTGGCATGGGACTCACAAAACCAGAGACACCAGGATGGCCATTTCCGGCTTATTAGCCGTCACCGGCGAGTGATATCTTATCCCAGGATTGGCGATCCACGGGATAAATATATATCCAACTTAGAATTACACGGTCGCAGTGCATATCATTTGCCCATTTTCAAGCGATGCAAAGCTCGAAACTCATGGGAACATTACTGTTTGGTCCCAAAACACCTGCGTTGTAAACTGAGTGACGACAGCAGTTAGGTTTCTTGAGAAACAGAAAATGAAATGACCAATACTGCATATAATTTGCAGCGCAACAGGTTCTCTGTGGTAGCGACATAGCTAAATAAAGCGTGCTGAAGTAAGAAGGACAGCAAAAGGTAATTGAGGCGCAGGGAACTGTTGATGTAAAGGAGATGTTTATCCTGCATGAGTGAATGCCATTTCCTACATAACGGCAGGTAGTGCGTCAATTACGTACCCCGAGTAGGTTTGATGCGTAACGGAGTTCAGATCGGTTCGAGTCTACAATTTTGCTTGCATCGGCGCTTTCTTTGAGGGTTTCGCAAAAGGAAATATTGCCAAGGTGGAGAATTGCCGCAAGGAGATTCCATATTTCGTCAATCTGCCTGTCTCGAAATTTCAAGTATTTCATTGTAGACATTATAGTTTCAAAATGGTTCGCATCATTTGTGTTACCACTGACGTTTTCGTTCTAAAAATAAAACAGTAATAAATAATTACTTGAGGCATTTGTCCTACATACAAGGACTGTACTGATGTTCCCTAGGAGTTTTAATTCGACTATTCTAAATCGTCAGAAAGTAATTTAAGTAGTTTTTAAATTTAAGATCTTCTTTATAATTGATAGGAAATAGTTCGGCCGAGGGGAAATTAAAAGCAGTCCCGTCTGTCGTATTAACCTCTCTCACGTACACAGACCGAGCCAGTTTTATCGAATTAGTCTTTTCGTCTCACACTAGAAATCCAGTTTCACCGGGCTGGAGGATGAAAAGTACGAGCTTTGTTAAAACCAAGCAAGCAGGAAAGGAACTTAGCTAAGAAAAAGTGACTAGAAGCCTACTGAATATTTAAATATCGTACCCAGTGAGCTTAAGAATCGTTAAAGCGCAAAAGAAGAAATCTGTGTATACTTTAAATACGGAACGAAAAGTTGGACTTCTAGTTTTCATAAGTCCTAGTTCAGGGATATAAATGAAATTGTGAACATTTATCGCGGGTTTCAACCCGATTTCTTGTGACAGGGGATCAGTTCCACCTGAAGTTCACCAAATGTAGCACATGGAACATCATTTGCTGGGAGTCCAGGGAGGTTTGGGACACAGCACAATGTCAAATAAATCAACTCTCACTGAATAGCTTAAAAGACTTAAAAATACAGAGGAAGAATTGTATGTTCTAGTAACCATGAAGTGGAAACAACAGAGAAAACAGGGAACAGAATGGCCATTTCTGGCTTACTAGCCATCATCAACCAGTCATACGCACTTTCAGTGGTGGCGACCTCCGAGATTCGAACCCGCAACCTTCGGTCATTGATCACAACCGACAAAACTAACAGGTCCATGGTGCAGTGTTAGTGTCGCGCTCAATGACCAAAAGTCGCCATATGGATTGTTACCTCTGGGGTTGGGTATGGCTGGCTGATGACAGCTAATAAGTCAGGAATTGCAATTAATCAGAGATGTTTGTATTTCAGCCTACGTGCAGTCCTGATGGAATATAGGTAACGCAACAACCGGCTCACAAGCACCAAGGATAGTCAATAAGAATACCACAAAAACCATTATTTTCATACACTTTTCTACTGTGTGCGAAGACAGGACGCGTCCAACAAAGTTGAAATTTCGATTAAAGTTGCTTTAGCATACTCTAATGTCGTGAAGTTCAGCCCATTTAAACATGAGTACTGCAAAGCATTTTTGTAATTGTAGTGAAAATCGCCAAGAAACTCTCATAAAGAGAGAACATTTCCCAATAAGCCCCAAGTTACCTCACGATCCAGAATAAAAAATCACCCTTTAAAGACAAACAGGAACGCTTAGGGGTTATCTGCTATCGTCAATTAACTAGACTGTGAATATTAGCGGAGACAATAAAGAACTTGGGTTCCGTTTATTTCTAAGGTCCAATTTCTAACTCTTGGGCTACGGGTTCAGTTACCCCTTCTGTTATCGGAAACGTTCAAAGCCACACGATTGTAACGTCCAAATATGGAAAAATATTGGTAGTAAGGATAAAATGTAGAACTTACCTGAACAAGGTAATTGTAGGCACTGACATCCTTGAGGCCAAGTTGGTTTTTCTTCTCCGCTTTCATGCCCGCAAGCATGCAATAGAATGCATGATAGTTTCGTTCACCTGGGGCCTGAGTGACGATACGAGATTTCTCCAGCAAGTACTGTTCTATCCGAGCACTCACAATGCGACCGGAGGTCTGATCAAAGTGGACGTCAACATACTTTCCGAATCGGGAGGAGTTGTCATTTCGCACAGTTTTAGCGTTTCCGAAGGCTATGAACGAAGGAAACAATTCAACCAAACCAAAAAGGAGCAATAGCATTTGCAATCGTAAGCACTTCGACGTTCGCATCCTGACACCTTTCAAATAAATAATTAAAAGAAACAAGACAGTAAATTTGAAAATGTTAAAGTTATACTTAAAATCAACCCATGTTTTTTGCAGAAGTAAAACCAAATTGCCTGCTGAGCACTTGCATCCCAACTTGAACTGAAGTGTTACAGGATTTTTAAACATACTGCACTGGGTCCTGAACTTGAGGAACAAGACATGAAGAATGGAAAACGTCAGCGGATGACGAGATGGGTAGAGCATGATGATTAAGTTTCCGCTGAGCCAAAGGTACGGTCCGCCTTGCGGAAGCCATTGCTAAACTTAAATAATTATTTGCATTCTATAAGTCCTTTTTGCAGTAAGAAATAACTGTTATCAAAATGCATCCAAAAGGTCTTCACTATCTAGAATTACAAAACAAGATCAACACAATAAGTCTCGATTTCGAATGCTCACCCTCCATTATTGGGTTAGAATCGAGGATTTGTTGTCCAATGCACGATTTCTTTCCGCTTACTGTCGTTATGAACTGCAGCAATAGTTTAGTGCTCTCTGTCTTCCCAGCTCCACTTTCACCACTAAAAACAAGACAATGGCAAAAAATAGACCAGTCTTTAGGATAAATTTTTCAAACATGCGGATCGTAAGTTATATTATTTAACAGTGTTTGAGACCTTATAATTATGCACTGGTCACATAGATTCTTTCTCATATTACGGTAGGCATTGTCACCGATGGCAAATAGATGGGGCGGCAGTTCACCGATACCCTTATTGGAGTATTCCTTCATTGTGTCCAGTGAGTAAATAGGAAGTGGTCGGTAGGGATTGATGGCAATCAGGATCGATCCTGTGTATGTCTAAAAAAGACGCTGATATAAAAAAGTTTTCTTACGTATATCTGGTTCTCTTGATAACGCAAGTAAAGGTTCCGCAATATGCCACATTCAGTCAGCTCTCCGAGCGCAATCATGTCTGGCATGCTTTTAATGGAACTGGGGTGCATCAGGTGACATTCCGTGTCACTATCGATGGTGAAACTCTAAAAGCAGAGTTATTCATGTTTTGGAAGTAAACTTTAAATAATAAACAACATAAACACTATAATAAGCAATAAGGTAATTTTTTCCTGGGCAGAGGCTTATGCTTGTTAACGCTGACTAAGTGGCCGAGGAGGCAAAGATTACTTAAAACTTAAATTTACTCAAATACAAATAAATGTGCAAAAACTCCCATAAATTCATGTAATTGTTCTAATATAAAATAATCAGCATCGTATAAAATAAATAGTATAAACATACATTCCCGTCATCATCCTGGATTAGGTAAGATCCATTCTTCGCCTCCAAGACTCGCGCCCCAACTGGTACTGAAAATTCACCTTTGCTGGTTGGTTTTATCCAAATATAATCCCCCTATGCGCAATATTCGGCAAACAAGGTTGCTAACCTTTGCAAGCACAACCATTTTGTACAGGAGTTACTTCTCGGAACTTAATTTTGAAATGTAATGCCGGTTGGTTGACTGTACAATTGCCGCGCAATGATCTTGAAATCAAGTTCCCTTTCTAAAATGATTACTAAAAATAAAACTAATAGTTTAGAAACGAACAATAACGACCAACAAAAGGAACGTATAAAAGCTTCCAAATATTTATCGGAAAAAGCCAAAGTTGCAAAACTTAATTTAAGAAACTTAGGACGTGCAAAAATTAGGAAAACTAAGCAGTAATTTTGCAATGTGAATTGTGAATATTTAACCAAAAACAGAGGTCGCGGAACAACAACGAGGAAGCACTTTTAGAAAAGAGCTAAGGACGTGTTTAAATTACACAGATAAAAATACCTAACCTGAAGCAACTTCTCTAAAATTAATAAAAAACGACCTGAAACTCGTGTGAAACCCGCAAAACAGCCGTTCTGGACGGCACAATGCAGCTAGCATACGGAAAGGTTTGATGGTTTTATAAATTTTGAAATCAATTTGCTGTTGGACCATATATCCGTACAGTAGATGATCAAACTTTTTAAAAACCTCCGGCGACAGTTTACCAGGCCTTCGTTGTATCAATAGCTAAACAGATTTGTATAAACCAATTTCCTTCCTTTTCTTTGCGTGTTGAGCTCCTCACTGTTGCATGTTATCGCGGCGTTTTATTTTTCTTCAGTCCCTTTATTTTCTGCTGTCCATGCTTAAAGTTTTGCAGACTTGTCTGTCAAGACTATCTGCTTACTTTGTTGTAGTTGACGATTAAAACGGACATCTACTGGAAACTCTAATAATAAACATTTATTTGATGTGGATGTCAGTGTAAAAAATAAAAAACCTCACCCAGCTAGTGTTGTACGGATAATGGGCGCTATCGTTGGTCTTAGTTCGGGCGTGGTAGGTAAGCTTATGTCATAGCTCTTACAACACAGCAGTCGGCGAACATTTTTTTCTGCTCAGTCCAGCATTTTGCAAAGTTATCTGACACTTACTGATTAAATATTTGTGCTCCAGGCGAAAACATAGGGTGAGTTACATGGAACCTTAATAAATTTGGAATTATCAAAAAAGGCACTTGGTCTGAACCTTCACCTTTCTTTGATGCTGCTTTATCAAAGAAGGATATCATAAAATGCTAACCTTCATAGATTCCCCTCTCAAACGATTATTAGATGGAAACCCTTAAAAATACCACGGAGTTCAATCAAAGGCTCTCGAATTATCTGCTACCACCGATAAACCTTAGGCAGCAGTTAAACTGTGTCATACCTTTTCTCCAATTAATATAAAATGTTCATATCAGCCTAAAGAAAAGCTCATCGTGACTAATGGCATATGACTACCTGTAGCTAAGTATGTACTCAGTATTATCTTCGTAAGTGCGAGCCCACAAACGTAGGCTCTGCTATACGTTAGAAATGACCCTACGACAAAGAATGAACTGGGATCGCCTCAATCAAAGAAACGTGTTGATAATTCACTATGCGTTATGCGGCGTAATCGTTGACGAAAAATAATACAATTGTGTACAGGTCTATGTTTTGTCCACTTATCCCACTAGTAATCGACTCCCTTTGAATTGTATTAAGAGAGTGTTTTAACTTCTGATCTGATAAGTATTTAAGGGTCTGCAAAGCCAAACAAAGGTCTCAATATTCACTACTAATTCTGTCCATCTTGATTATAAAAACGTTTGGTAACTCTGCGCAAATCGCAATGCAGTATATGCGTTCACCTATGCTAACTGTGATCGTGCTTGCACATATATCTTTGATATATCCTCCATTGCACCACGTTTTGCGTTCCCAGTGAACACTAAAATCACCCGCTGACTGGCTGCGTTGTCCTTGCTGATTTTTTTATTAGAGAAAAAAATTAAACTGTATTTTTTGATATTTGTTGAACCTCTATTACATTCTGATGTCCACCAGGAATACGGATAATAGATAGCCGAACAGATAAGGGTTTGTCCTAAAATTCGACACCAAGGGACACGATTTGGCGGATAGAAAACCTTTTCGTCCAACTTTAAACTTGCACAACCTACAAAATGTTTAGTAGAAAAGGTGCGGAATAGTACATAACATAGGCCGGCATGCAACATTTTTCAGGTAACATAAAATAAAAAATAAAAAATATTTATAATAATAAAAATAATAAGCAATTTAAAATGTCAGTCTCTTTTGTGAAAGGCCCATTTTAGCCTCTCGAAAATAAGCGATTGAGAATTTTTGATTCGAGGGCAAGAAAAGGCTAAATATTATAATTTTTGTCTCAACTAAACGGTAATTTCTACCAAAATGCACTTCGTCATGGGTACTATAGAACGTAGGCAACTTGCCAAGACATTTTTATGGGAAGAGCATACTTTAAGTTTTCTGGCAAAGATAAAATTCGTTTTGACCGTTTTATAGAAACAAATACAATTAAATCAAAAGCAACTTCACAGTACCAGCGCATTTTTACAAGAATCCCGCGTTTCTTATTTCCGAGTGTATTTGAACACCGCCCATTACGTATAGATTATTCCTTTATCCTTTTGGTGAGTTTGAGAAGTAAAACTCTGAAGACTGAGATAGTTCTGGTTATTGTCTCAAACTGGAAGTATTTTCGTGGAGATAACTGTAGTACTTTGTCCGAGCTCAATGTCACCACAGCTCAGTATAGTTCAGTATATATAAAACAGATAGGCAGAGCCTTTAAAAACCCTATTTACTGATAGATGCTGTCAGATCATGCATGTCGTTCATAGTCATATATACATTATATAAATCTTTGTTGTGTACCAAATTTATGACCAA